ACCAGAGGCATGTGTGTGCGTGCCCAATATCCCAAGAGGAGAATGGAGGAGAAGGGATGGTGGCATGGCCATCCCCCCTGAGAGGTGATTTCTTGCTTTCTGTCTCTCTCTGTCTCTCTAGTGAGCCCATGTGCCCTAGAGTAAAATCTCTCTGGAAGCAAATTTTTAAAAATAATTATTTAATTTTATTTATTAGAATGATGATTTCTCAACCTGTTACAGGGCACATGTGCTCACAATAGGGGGGGGGGAAGGAGAGATAGACAGGGAACGTGAGAAAGCAAACTGCCAGGTCTGGGAATCAAAGTACTATTGGTCATGCGGGAGTCTAGCGCCTTAATCAGCACGCCACCTGCTGGTCCTTCGAATACCTTTCTAAGGTCTCGTGGGTCACTGCATTAGGTAGACATAGATGCCACAAGTTCTGTAAAAATACCAGTGAGCCCTCACATCCTCCTTTGGGTTTAATAGCTTTCCTTACATTTAAAGCGAGGTAGAATGAACTGTTAACCGGACTTCAGGGTTATTAAAGGCTCAGCGGCTCCTCCCGGGCACTCAGTGGTGAAATCCCACCACCTGGCTTAAATGCTCTTTTGGCAATAAAGGCTATTTTTGTTTGGTCAGAGGGCACCTGTGCTCCTAGAGAGAATTAGAGAGGCAGAGAGACACAGAGATGGAGAAAGCATTCCCCTCAGTGGTGTGTGGTCACACCACAATCCCTTCTCCATTCTCCATCCTGTCAGGATCTGGGGACATGCAGCTGGCATGGATCAAGCTGTCGGGGTCAAGGTTTAAACTGTACTTAGCCATGTGAGAGATGCTTCCGTTAACCACTGCCCAGGCTACAGGGCAGGTCTGATTTTGTTTTGTTTTTATTTTTATTTGTCAGAGGGCATATGCGCCTGCTAGAGAGAGAGAGAGAGAGAGAGAGAGAGAGAGAAAGCAAGAAAACACCCCTCCATGGAGCCTGGCTAGGTGCCATCGCTTGTCCATCACCACCCCCTCCTGTCGGGATATGGGAGTGAACACAAAGTGCCTGGCCTCTTTTTCAAGCTGCCGGGTCCAGGACCCCAATCACAGAATCAGCCGTGTGGCATCCAGCTGCCTCAGCCACAAGGTCATGTGTTGGCCCCGTTTTGAAAGAAATGAAAGAGTGGCTCTCCCTGAGTGCAATTTAAAGACTGTTTTAAAATGTATGCATTTGCAGGACCAGCAGATGGCATAATGGTTACATCACTGGACTCCCATGTAGTTGACCGTGGTTTGAGTCCCAGACCTGGAGGCTTAAACTCACACCGGGTGCGTGTGAGTGCATGCCCAAAATCCCGAGAGGAGAATGGAGGAGAAGGGATTGCAGCATGGCCATGCCCTCTGGGAGCTGATTTCTTGCTCTCTGTCTCTCTGTTTCTCTCTGTCTCTCTGGCATGTGCATGTGCCCTATAGCAAAATCCTCTCTCTGAAAAACAAAACAAAACAAAATATATTTGTTTGTGTCTCCCATTAAGAGAGGGAGACAGAGAGAGAAAGCACATCAACAGTCTCTTCACGCTGTGACCCAACTCCAGCCCCAACTGGCCAAGACCCTGGGCAGGAAGCGGTGCCTTAGGCATGCAGCAAGAGACCCTGGGACCCACACCCTGCACCTTGGCCTGATCACCCCTGGAGAGTGTCATGTGAGTGGAGTGCCCTGTGACCAGCAGATGTATGCATCCAGTCCCTGGAAGCCCTCCTGCCTAAGCCCCTCTTCCTGGCTTTTTTTTTTTTTACAAAGACCCAGCCATGGCTGTGAAGAACACTGATCACAGCCCACCAGATGGCGTCTGAAGCAAATGCAAGGTATGAGCCATCCTGCCATGCCAACACCACATCCTGGGAGCTGTGTCAAAACACCGATAAGACGAGGGCAAGCAGGTGGCGTGGTGACCAAGGCACTGCATTCCCATATGCTCAACCACGGTTCGAGTCCCAGGACTGCTGGCTTGTACATCACACCTGGTGCACATAGGTCCGTGTGCAGGATCTCGAGAGGAGAAGGGAGGAGAAGGGATTGCAGCGTGGCCATCTCCTCTGGAAGGTGATTTCTCACTTTCCCTTCGTCTGTCTCTCCCTGGTGAACACACGTGCCCTACGGCAAACACTTCAAAGAAGAACGATAACCCGTATTGGTGTTACTGGCCATGACAGCACGGCCTTCCCATTTCAGAATTCCAGGTGCACGCAGGTCTCTGATCCATGAGGCGTCATGCATGGCTTGACTGCTGAAAGTGCTGCATTTTCTTGCAGCTGGCATAGAGACATTTCCCTCCATTCTGATTTGTCTTTCCATTTAAAACCTTCTTATTACATTTTTCTTTTCTTACTTCTTTCTTTTCTTTTCTTTTCCTTTTTTAAGAATTTTACTATACTGTGCATGTGCTTGCTCGAGACCCAGAGAATGGAGAGACAGAAAGTGAAAAATCCCCGCCCTCTCCGCCCCAGGAATAGCCACACTGCAATCCATTCTCCTCCTGGGATTTTGGGCGTGCACGCACACACACTCCCTGTGAATTGCAAGCCACCGGGTGGACCACGTGGCTGTCCAGCAGCTTAACCACCAGCAGCTTAATCACCTGCTGACCCCTTCATTTTTTATTCCATTTCATCACTCTGCCTTTACAGCATACGAAATGGTTTTTCTCTGTACGAACGCAGTGCGTGTTGGGGCAAAGAGACTTTTACCCACCTCTTTTCTCGAAGACCTGGAATGGAATTATGTTTGATTTACCGGCCCGTCAGGACTCACCCCTTTCCTCCGATGCACAAAGATTTTTACACCATAAGCATTTCATTCTCTAACATCGTTTTTATACCTTTTTTTTTTTTTTTGGAGAGATTTTTTTTTGAAAGGCGTGTGTGCTCGCCAGCCAGCCAGAGATAGAGAGACAGAAAGCGAGAAATCACCCCCCAGGGAGGATGGCCACACTATAATCTCTTCTCCTCCATTCTCTTCTCAGGATCTTGGGCATGCATGCACACACGCCCGGTGTGAGATTAAGCCACTGGGTCCAGGACTCGAACCGTGGTCGACTACATGGGAGTCCAGCGACATAGCCATTATGCTAACTGCCGGTTCCCGTTTTGATATCTTGAGGTGAGTTTTTGGTGTTCCTTGACATCATTTCTCCATGACGGAAACGCGCCACCTTGGACAGATTTGCACACAGCGAGCTCCTGCTTTGGCAGCTGTGGTTCCTTTCCGATATCATTTCAGTGGTCTTACCGCAGGCCAGCAGGGCAGGAGCCATCCTGACGGTAAGACCGGCCTCTGCCTGCTGAGGCACGGGAGGTCTGGGTGAGGTGAGGAAGGGGCACGTGAGAAGCCAGGGGTGAGCGTTTGCAGGACTCGGGGTCAGCACTCAGGGGAAAGCACGGGGCCCTGCTGGACGGCCCTGAGGAGAGATTTGCACTTGCTTGTGTCTTGTGCCAATAAATACCATGAAGACATTGGACGTTCTGAGACAGTTTGGTGGTGCTGCTGCCTGTCTGCTGGTAACAGCTTACAGAATAAACTGCCTTTTCTCCAGCCTCTGTCCCACCTTTCACAGACCACAAGAAACAGCAGCAGCTGGTGGCCAGGTAGCCAGCAAGGCTCTTTCCTGGACCACTAGTGGAAACACCTCCTTACTACAATGGCCTCTTCCAGCACAAGTCTTCTTGCCCACTTGCCCATTTGAAATGGGAAGGACCAGGGCCAGCAGGTGGTGGAGTGGTTAAGGTGTTGGATGCTCACGTTACCCACTGCAGTTCCAGTCCCAGGCCCGGAGGCTCGAAACCCACGCCAGGCACAAGCGTGTGCGTGCCCAAAATCCATAGAGAGAATGGAGGAGAAGGGACTATGGCATGGCCATGGCCTCTGGGGGTGATTTCTCACTTTCCCCCCTCTCTGTCTCTCTCTGTGTCTCTGGTGAATGCACATGCCCTCAAGGAAACAGCTGTTAGAAAGGAAAAAAAAAGGAGAAAGGAAAAAAAAGAAATTGAAAGAACTAAATGAAGAGTTAAGAGTATTAAGAGTACTATGGGCTTTGTCAAACTCGTTGGTTGTCAACATCCTGTCCCATCCCACAGTTTCGATCTTTGGAGGCTCTCCCAAGTCAGCGAGGGCACCATCGTGTACCCAGAATCCGGACAGGAGGGCGAGACGGAGAAGGGATTGGAGAGTGGCCATGCCCCCTGGGCTGCTTTCTCTCTCTCAATCTTTCTTTGGCTAGTGCACGCACTCTCCAGAAAATAGGAAGGGAGGAGAGGACGAAGGAAGAAGGGAGGGAGAGACAGAGAGAGGAAGACAGTCAGACAGACATGCACATAGCGTTAGGGAAGAAAAACGGTTCTGGCTGCTATGCGTATAAGTGTGCGGGCCTGTGTGTCCACCCTGGAGACTGCACCTTTCTTTCTGTCTCTTTCTCTATTTTTTTTTTTTTTTTGAGAGTTTTTGCTATAGGGTGCGTGTGCTCGCTGGAGAGACAGAGAGACAAAGAGAGAAATAAAGAAATCAACCTCCAGGGGGGCATGGCCACACTGCAATCCCTTCTCCGTTTTCCTCTTGGAGTTTTGGTCATGCATGTATACGCACTTGGCAGGAGTTTTAAGCCACCAGGACCGGGACTTGAACCATGGTCAGCCGTGTGGAAGCCTAGTACCTTAAGCACCATGCCACCTGCCGGCCCCAAGCACAGAGTCTGGAAGGAGACAAAGCAGCTAGGAGGGCCGTACTGCTGGGGCGAGAAGGCGGCCATATCCAGGTGAGGCTGGCAGGTGGCATGGTGGTTGAGACGCTGGATTCTCACATGGCTGACCTCAGTTCGAGTCCCAGACCTGGCAGTTTGGTTTCTCACTTTTTCTCTTTCTCTGTGAGTCTCTCTGGTATGAAGAGACATGCCTTGTAGCAAAACTGAAAAGAAAAAAAAAAAGAACCATAATGAGCAATAAAATGAAATAATTTAAAAAAGAGAAGAAGGACATACCCCGTTTTGGCGAAGTTGGTCCAGTAGGTCATGACCACGGCGCTGAGCATCACGTCGTTCTTGGAGAAGTTGCAGCTGAAGAGCTCGGTGGGGCCGATCATGGGGATGCCGAAGACATAGGGCACCTCGTCGCCGTGGGCTGAGTCGGCCCAGCTGGGCTTCATCTCGCTCTGGCAGTGGTGGTAGAAGGAGTAGAAGTAGGTGGGGGAGCCGTACTGCGCGTGCAGGTCGGCCGTGGCCACGGCGGGGGCCACCCACTGGTGGTCGGTGAACAGCGCCACCAGGGTCTTCCTGCGCGTCTCGGGATTCTCCTTGTCCGCCCAGTCCGTGTACATGAACTTGATGGTCTCCCGCAGCGTGTCCTTGCCCTCGGGGTAGCCGTACAGGTTGTCCACGAAGTTAGACACGGAGAAGTCGAAGTCGTTGGGCGTCACGCCGTCCTCGTTGTCCACGATGCCGTCCACGAACTTCAAGCCCTCGCCCTGGTTGACGCCCAGCATGATGTCGTAGTTGAGGAACTCGCCCTGCTCCATGAGGATCTGCGGGTCGTCGGGGATGACGTCGCCGTCGATGACGGGCCCGAAGGCGATGTGGTAGGTGGCGGGGGTGATGCTCTGCTGGATCAGCTCCTTGTGGTTCTTGTTGCGCAGACACTCCACCATGTCCGTGGTGTCCAGCATGTTGCAGCCCACCTTGTCCGCCAGGATTCGCGTGTACTTGGCCGGCTGGTAGTTCACCGCCCAGCTGGACAGGGCTGTTCCGCTCTGGATAATGGCCTTCTGAAACAGACCTGCAGGTGCGGCATTGAAGACATGCAAATGAAAAGCCCCCGGGACAGAACAGCGGCTTTGACTGCGGGAAGAAGGCGGGCATTGTCTTGGGGCCTGTGAATTTCTGGACGCAGGAGCTCGGGGTTCTCTCTGGGTCTGTTTTCGCCCGTTTTCACGGTATTGCCCCCTCCTCCTGGATATGCATTTCACACACACACACACACACACACACACACACACACAGGCATGCATGCACACACAGAATAGGCTTTAAGGAAATGAAACTGCATGGACACTTTCTCTGCATAAAAGGAAAGAAAAATAACACTTAAAATTTCTTCCTCCTTCCACAATTAAGCATGGTTTTGGCTCCAAGTGCCATAAAGAAACCATCTCAGAATAACTGTACTGGGACCAGCAGTTAGCGTAATGGCAGTATCACTGGACTCCCACGTAGTCCACCGCGGTTCGAGTCCCGGACCCGGTGGCTTAAACTCATGCCAGGCGTGTGTGCGTGGCCCTATAGCAAAAAAAACCTCTCCAAAAAAAAAAGAAAAAGAAACAGAATAACTGTACTTTCTGATTGCTCCTAAAAACATGTTTCGTGGGACCGGCAGGGGGAGTGGTGGCTGAGGCACTAGACTCCCACATGGCCAACCATGGTTCAAGTCCTGGATCTGGTGGCTTGCTGGCTCACTTTCCCTTTCTCTCTCTCTCTGGTCAAATTAAATAATAATAATAAGTAAAATGAAATAAACAATACTTTAAAAAAAACAACAAGCAAACAAAATCATGATTTGTATGAGTAAGACATCACAAGACCTTGTAGTTCACAGGTTAGACCAGGTACCGGTTCACGAGCAGGATTGGAAAACCCACCAGAATCAATTCCAAACGACTCACTCAGGGATGTGTTTATAGTTCTACCTAGAGTCCAATGAACGTATTAAGAATTTACAATTAAAATGGATTAAATTAGCTTCACCTCAAGAAATCCTCAGCGGGGTACCCAACTAACAAAGATTGTTTTAAAAAAAATCACTAATTTCCAAAGTATAGCCATTCAAGCCCCTGTGTTTGTACTATGTAGTCTGGCTACCTTTTTAAATGGCTCTCTTGGGGGAGAATTTGCAAAAGCGTGGACAATTTTAAGAGCAAAATTCAGGGCTGGCAGGTGGCGTGGTGGTTAAGGGCACTGGACTCCCACATGGTAGACTGTGGTTCAAGTCCTGGACCTGGTGGCTTGCTTTCTCACTTTCTTCTCTCTTTCTGTGTGTGTGTCTCTCTGGTCAAATGAAAAATAAATGAATACATCAATAAAATCAAATAAATATTTATATAAAAAAAGAGTAAAAGTCTGTGTGGCTTAAAACTGTCCATCTGGGGACCAGTAGTTAGCGTAATGGCTATGTCACTGGACTCCCACGCAGGAAACCGCGTCCTGGACCCGGTGGCTTAAACTCACGCCGGGCGCGTGTGCGTGCGTGCCCAAGATTCCAGGAGGAGAATGGAGGAGAAGGGATTGCGACATGGACAACCCCCCTGGGGGGTGATTACTCACTTTCTGTCTCTCTGTCTCTCTCTGTTTGGCGAGTGCAAGCGCCCTATAGCAAAAACCTCTCAAGAAAAACAAAAAACAAAAAACAAAAAAACTGTCCATCTGCTCAGTCTCCTGTAGGACCTCATGCCCTGCCCAGTTTTAAACGTTTCAAAAGCAATCCAAGATGAGGCAAGTATGATGACACTCAGGAGGGGGTGACTTTAATGTGCGGAGGGGTCCCCAATGTGACAAACAACACAGAGAGAGTTTCAACTGGTCTGGCTTAGCACAATCTGGCATTCAAGCCACCTGTGGGCCATCTGGGTCAGAAACGGACACACATCAGGGACCAGCAGGTGGCGTGGTGGTTAAGGTGCGGGCCACTCCCACATGGCTAACCACGGTTCAAGCCCAGGGCCTGGTGGCTTGCTTTCTCTGTGTCTGTCTCTCTTTGTCTCTCTCTCTCTGGTCAAAATTTAAATAAATAAATAAAATGAAAAATAAATAATTCTTCAAAAGGAAAAAGAAATGGATGAGAATCAACTTGAGTGTTTGGCTTCAAAGATTAACATTTGCAAGCCGCTGAAAGAAATGAGGTCTGGATGCGAGCTCCTGAAAACGTTTCTAAGTGAAGGCGATCGGAAGTGGGGACACCGCCAGAAGATGCCTTTCCCCTCTCTCACAGATAAGGGTAAGAGTTTAGGTAGTGTGGGATATAGAACTTACATATTTTATTTCATACTTATAAACGCATAGCCTTACGTACGTTATAGAATTATATATAAAATATAGAACCAAATAGATTCATAGGATATATTACATATGCATGATATCATCTATATTTACATAATATATACTCATATAGTATTCTATATAATATAGACATATTTAGGTGTAGATTTTTATATATTACATATTATATAGAATATAAATATATTTAGTTATAGGTTTTATAGATATGTTTCTATGTGACATATAGAATATAAATATAGTTATAGATTTTACGGACATGTTTATATATGACATATTATGTAGAATATAGTTATATATTTATATACTGTATTTTATAATATATTATAGATAATATATTATACAAATACATTTATATATAAAATTTATATAAATATACAGTTATATAATATATATATATTGTGCATGTGTGTGTGTGTGTGTGTGTGTGTCTATTCCACATATCTGTATGATAGGGAATAATAGAACCCCCAATATGACTCAAACAATTGGATAATGAAACAAAACCACTTCTTAAAAAATTCTTTTTTCAATTTTAAGATGTTCTTGCTAGAGGGCATGTATGCTCAGTGGAAAAAGAGACAGAAACAGAGAGAGGGAAAGTGAGAAATCGCCCCCTGGGGGGGGGATGGCCACACTGTAATCCCTTCTCCTCCGTTCTCCTCCTGGGATTTTAGATGCACATGCACACGCCCCGTGAAATTTTTCAAGCTGCAGGGTCTGGGACTCAAACTATGTAGTGGGCCATGTGAGAGTCCAGTGAAGTCCAGTGCCTTAACTACCACACCGGAAAGAAATTCTTTCTAACGCCTACTGTTCCAAACAAGTTGTCTGAGCATCCTAAATACACTGGACATTAGTATAATGGCGTCTCCTTTCCCTGTCCGTAGGTCTGCTTTGCTTAACTGCACTCCAACTAGGCATGTGTCCCTACACCATACTTTCCATGCCATTATAAATCTTACGCACAGTTCTCAAGTGACACCTCCTTTGAGTACCTTCACAGGGCTCCTTATAACTTTTCTCTTTTCAGAGGTTAGCTTTTTTTTGAGAGATTTTGGCTATAGAGTGCGTGCACTTGCCAAAAAGACAGAGAGAGACAGAGAGACAGAAAGCGAGACATCATCCCCCAGGGGGGATGGCCATGCCATAATCCCTTCTCCTCCATTCTCCTCTCGGGATCTTGGGCATGCACACACATGCGCCTGGTGTGAGTTTAAGCTGCTGGGTCCGGGACTTGAACCGCAGCTGACTGCAAGGGAGTCCAGTGACATAGCCATTACACCAACTGCTAGACCCTAGAGTTTAGCTTTTTGATGACTCCTTTGCTATGGTAATGATACTGTGGTGAACAACTTCATTTAACTATCCTTTTCCATGTGCACTTCAATTTCATGAGAGTAGGTTACGAGGGACCAGCAGTTAGCATAATGGCTATATCGCTTGACTCCCATGTAGTTGACTGCGGTTCAAGTTTGGACCCGGTGGCTTAAACTCACACTGGGCGCGTGTGCGTGCGTGCCCAAGATCCCGAGAGGAGAATGGAAGAGAAGGGATTGCAGTATCCCCTCCCCCTGGGGGGGGTGATTTCTCGCTTTCTGTCTCTCTTTCTATCTCTGTCTTTCTGGTGAGTGCATGCGCCCTAGAAAAAAAACTCGCCAAAAAAAAAAAAAAAAAGAAAAGAAAGAAAGAAAAAAAAGAACTGCCTTGCATTAATACCGGAGGCAAAGGCACTGTGAAAGAGCACCATGCTTCCAGTCTGCTGATTTACGTCATTAACAGCCCCTTCCAGGAGTTACGTGCGAATGGGCTGGATTCTATTTAGCTGGCCCGGACTACTTTCCAAATGCAGAACTGGGATTATATCAAATGAGAAAAGTGGAAACTAGATGTTGTGTGAAATGCCCTGGGACTGAAAGACCTACTGGATCATTCACTTTTTATTTATTTATTTTCTTATTCTGGAGAGGTTTTTGATAGAGGGCACAAGAGCTTGCCAGAGAGAGAGAGAAAGCGAGAAATCACCTCTCAGGTGGGACGGCCATGCCGCGATCCCTTCTCCTCCATTCCCCTCTCAGGATCTTGGGTACGCACGCTCATGCACCCAGCGTGAGTTTAAGCCACCGAGTCCGGGACTTGAACCACGGTTGACTACAGGGGAGTCCAGAGACACAGCCATCACGCCAACTGCTGGTCCTGGATGATTCACTTTTCTTTTATAAAAAAATAAACAGCTAGCATGGCCAGCAGGTGGGGTGGAGGTGAAGGAGGCTGGCCCTCACATGGCCGAACGCACTGTTAGGCGAGTCCTGAAGTTGGGAGCCTGAAAATCATTCCAGGTGAGTGCACCTGCATGCCCAAAACCCCAAGAGGAAAACGGAGAAGGGATTTTGGCATGGTCATCCCCCTGGGGAGGGGAACCTCTTTTTCCTTATCTCTTGGGCAAGTATCATGTGACCTACAGTAAAAACAGTAACAAAAACAAAAACAAAAACAAAAAACCAAACAAACAAAAAACAAAAAAACAAGAAACAAAACTGAATACAGGGCTGGTCCCAAGACCATTGCTGGATCCCTCCAAACCAACCACGATTTGAGTCCTGGCCCCCCGTGGCTGACTAATTATGCCTGACAGGATGGAGAAATGGAGGAGAAGGGATTGTCAGTGTCTGTCTTCCCTGCGTGGGGTGTTTTCTTCCTCTCATTCTCTCTCTGTGCTGAGCAGGTGTGCCATCTGGCAATGAAAAACAAAAAGCCAATACAAATATGAGCCTTCTACTTTTCAATAGCTCTTAGGAAATGTTAAAAATCAAGAAATTTACATTTCAAGGAGTTAAAGTTCATCCTCATTCTTCTCTTGCTCACGGAGAAATCAAGATCCAGGAAGAGTCAATCACTTACCCACCAAGGGTCAGGAAGTGGAGAAAGGATTGCAATTGCACTATAATACATCATTAAACCTTTAAAGAAGTTGCAGTTACTTTAAAGAAAGACACCCTGAGACAGCGGTTTGTTTTTGTTGGTTTTGAGAGGGTAAGTGAGAAATCACATCCCGAGTGGATGGCCACCTCACAATCTCTTCTCATCCACTTTCCTTTCAGGATTTTGGGCACAGATGCACACTCGCCTAGCGCGATCCTCAAGATACTGAGTCTGGGACTCGAACTGAGGTCGGCTATGTGGAATTCAGAGCTGTAACCACCATGCCACTCACTGGCCATGAGACAATGTTTTTAGAGGGGAGAGGTTTTTGCTATAGGGCCTGTGTGCTCGCCAGAGAGAAAGAGAGACAGAGAGATAGAAAGCGAGAAATCACCCCCTCGGGGGAGGATGGCCACACCACAATCCCTTCTCCTCCATTCTCCTCTTGGGATCTTGGGCACGCACGTACACGCGCCCGGCGTGAGTTTAAGCCACAGGGCCTGGGACTCGAACAGCGGTGGACTACATGGGAGTCCAGCGACATAGCCATTATGCCATCTGCTGGCCCCTATGAGACCATTTTTAAAAATGTAATCCCATTGAAGTTTCAGGGGCCTTGGGTGTGATCAGGTCAACGTGTTATGCTGCAGCTCTTCAGCCACCCGAGGACCCAGAAGAACATCAACCCCTACCTGGATGAAGTCGTTGTGAGTACTCATGGACACACTGGCCAGGTCACCCAGTATCGCTAGCCTTGCAGATTTTCCTGCTGTCTCCCGAGGCCAGAGCAGAGACGTCCCTACCCTGCTTCCAGAACCACTGTGTCCACCCTCACGAGCTTCTCTTTCCAGCCTCTCATCTGAGACCGCCTACAGACCCCTTTTATAAAGGATAGCACTGAGGTGCCCCGAGGAAGGCTCTGGAGAAAACCTGAGGCTCCCCTGCAGGGCTGCGGGCTCCAGATGGAGCTTGGACAGCTATTGGGAAAACCACCTGGGACACTTCTCAGCTCCCTGTGCTGATCCATCCACCAAGTCCCTCTGTTCCATGGGTATCAAGCTTCCAGGGGGGTCCTTGGCTGAAAATGATCTTTCCAGATGAAGGAAGGTGGGCAGGGACAAAGATGACTATCCTAGGTACTGGGTGCTTTTAAGTGAATGCAACCTAAAGGCTCCTACTGTTTCCAGAACAGGTAGAGTTAACAGGAACCACACACGTGAATTTAAAAAAAACACGCCTATTGGAGCAGAAGATGTAATGGTTGTGCCGATGGGTTCCCATGCAGTTGACTGTGGTTTGAGTCCCGGACCCGGTGGCTTAAAATGCATGCTGGGTGTGTGTGTGTGCATGCCCAAAATCCTGAGGGGAGAATGGAAGAGAAGGGATTGCAGCATGGTCATCCCCCTTGGGAGGTAAATTGTCACTTTTGTCTTTGTCTCTGTCTCTATAGAGCACACGTGCCCTATAGTAAAAATGCTCTTTCAAAAAATCAAAACCGGGAACCAGCAGTTAGCGTCATGGCTATGTCGCTGGACTCCCACGTAGTCGACCGCGGTTCGAGTCCCGGACCCGGTGGCTTCAACTCACGCCGGGTGCGTGTGCGTGCGTGCCCAAGATCCCGAGAGAAGAATGGAGGAGAAGGGATTGCGGCGTGACCATCCCCCCTGGGGGGTGATTTCTTGCTTTCTGTCTCTATGTCTCTCTCTGTCTGTCTGGCGAGCGCACGCGCCCTACAGTGAAAATCTCTCCAAAAAAAAAATCAAAACCATGCTTGTTGATCAATGGATCTAAGAATGCATGTCGACAACTGAAAGAGGCGATGGAACTGTGGACCGGAACAGAGTCAAAAAGGCCACTGATGGGTCAGCAGGTGGCACGGAGGTTAAGGCACTGAATCCCACGTGGCTGGCTCCATGGTTCGAATCCTGGACCCAGGACCTTGAAAATCACTGCAGGTATGCGTGCTTGCCCCAAATCCTGAGAAGAGAATGGAGGAGAAGGGACTGTGGTATGGCCATCCCCCTGGGGGTGGGGTGATTTCTCACTTGCCCTCTCTTTCTCTCTCTCTCTCTATGTCTCTCTCTGACTGGAGTACACACACTGTAGCAAAAATCAAAAGAAAAACAACAACAAAAAAAGACAATTCAGCATACTTTGCAAAAAATAAAAGAAACAAAGCCCAGAGTAGAATTGGTAGCAAATGTGCAAATGTGCACAGCCTCATGTTCCCATGGGGGATTTTTCTGCTGAGGGCACCCGGAGAGACTCTGGCAACCCTGCCCTGCCCCAGGATGGGAACCATAGGAGTGTCCCCTTCTTGTTTCTGTGGTTGCACCTGTCCCCCCGCGGGCCACTTCCCTTACCTTCTGAATAGTGCGATAAGGTCAACAGGCTGACGCAGGAGGCCCCGGCCCCCGAGCCGAAGATGGTCACGCGCTTCGGGTCTCCGCCGAAGGCCCCGACGTTCTCCTCGACCCACCTGAGTGCCTGGATCTGGTCCAGCAGCCCGTAGTTCCCTTTAGCCGCCTGGTCGCCGGTGCTTAAAAACCCTGCAAGAGAACGCAGCGTGTTTGTGGGCCGCTGGGACACAAGTGCGTGAGCTAGACTGTGCAAGAGGAGGGCCGAGACACCGTCCTTCCTTCCCCACGATGCACATGGTCATGGCCTCGGGGGTGAGAGTGCATGCCCCACGCCTGCCTGGGGAACCCGGGCTGCACCCCACGAGGAGGTCTAGCTAAATGCTAAGGAGAAATGATATGAAATAGCACAAGGAAAAGCAGACGGAGAGAAAACCCAGAAAGGTATCTCGTGGCTTATGTTCTTGCTCTGCCTAGGCACTCCATCTCCCCGTTCGTTTCTAGAAGCAGCCCAGAGCCTTGGGTCGGCTGACCAACTTACATAAATCATGATTATGCTTTCTGTGGACATTGGAATGAACTCTATCATCCATGGGTATGTGGGCGGTTAAGAGAGGAGGCAAAATGGGGACCAGCAGTTAGCGTAATGGCTATGTTACTGGACTCCCATGTAGTTGATCATGGTTCAAGTCCCGGACCTGGTGGCTTAAACTCACACCAGGTGCATGTGTGTGTGTGTGCCCAAGATCCCGAGAGGAGACTGGAGGAGAAGGGATCGTGGCGTGGCCATCCCCCCTGGGGGGTGATTTCTCGCTTTCTCTCTCTCTGTCCTTCTGGTGTGTGCACGTGCCCTATAGCAAAAATCTCTGGGGGAAAAATGAGGAAGATTCTTTAAGTTGAGGGTCTAGACAGACAAGCCTTTTTGGCATTCTTGGGAGCCAAGTGGTCAGTTGCTCTGTCTCATTTTTCATTCCGTCTAATACAGCCTGAGCCGGGAAAACGGCTTTTCTCTGATGATTCAAAGTCATTTTTTGGGGGGAAGACATACACTCTCTTACTCAGATTCAGAACTATGAATATTTTCTAAATTTTCCTGCAAATGTAACCCATGACGCCAACATTAAAGCAACTTTCTGCTCAAATATGTACTGGCTAAGCCTTCCAAGGAGAAGAAGGAAGGAAGAACAGAAAGAAGGAAGGACGGACGGACGGACGAACGAACAGTCTTGACGAGGTTGAACAAGTTTTGCATTCTCCTTTGAGTTTCCCCAAAATATCTAACCAGGCTGTTGGCCTTTTCTTCATCATCCCCCACTCCCAGTGGCGTGTCATTCACTCCTTTCAAGAGATGATGATGATGATAACTGGAGAGATTTTCGCTATAGGTCACATGTGTTCGCCAGACAGACAGAGAGAGACAGAGAGAGAGAAAGCGAGAAATCAACCCCCTGGGAGGATGGCCACGCCGCAACCCCTTCTCCTCCATTCTCCTCTCAGGATCTTGGGCACGCATACACACGCCCGGCGTGAGTTTAAGCCATCGGTTCCAGGACTCAAACAGGGGTCGACTACATGGGAGTCCAGTGACGTAGCCATGAGGTCAACTGCTGGTCCCCAAGACGCTTATTAAATCATGATGCGCATGTGCTGTGTCTATGAAGAGTGACTGGCGTGAGTCTTACAACAACGTGGATGAAAAGCAACACCTTCAAACCACCACCCTGACCAGCGCCGACAGTATTCCGAGCAGCCCGCTGACGGCCAGCTTCTAAAGCTGCAAAGTATGCACAGTAGCGGCTCATCCCCAACATTTTTGGGGAGACTATATTTCCACTGCCCTGGGTGGTGAGGGATGTCTCCAGGGTACTGCATCTACAGTGCACTTTTACAGGTGTCACACGGGAATAACAGGGAGAAGTCCTGGCCAGGGCATTGTGCTCTCTGCATCAGGAGGGGCTCACAGACAGCTGCAGGAGCGGACAGCTTACTGTTTTAAAGCACCAATAAAAATCCCACACTTGGATCAGGGACTGGTCCCCTCCTGAACCCAGAGGTAGAGGCTAAATGTCAGCTGCACCGTGGGGCATTGCAGGCCCATCCTCTCCCGAGTTGCAGGAATTGGATGTGAGAGTAGGTGTCATGAGTGGGACTGTTCACACGTTGGCCATCCCTGCAGCTACTGAGCAATCGCTTGCCGGTGTTTCCTGCCGAAAGCGTTCTGCAACACCTGCATGCATTATTCCACGTGGAGTGCAGTTGTTGTAAAAGGAATCATGCTCTGCTTGGGAGAAAAGCCCCGGTCCTGCTGGGAAGGTGTGAAGATAGCTGAAAATGCCAGTTTCAGTGCTGAGAGAGAAGCAGACCAACCAGTGTGTCTCTCCTTACGAGAGAAAGAGGTCATGAGTCCCTAAGCTCCGGGCATGTTCTGGCAGAAGCCTCCCCGCCTGCTTTCTCTTCCCCTCCCCCTCCCGTCTCCCTCTGTCAACTCCTCACTGATGTCGCCTCTGTAGAAGAGTAAGAGGGTTTGCAGCACAGGAGCAATGAGGAGGGTGGATTTCACCCACCGTCAGTCCTCATGCAAGGCAGAGGGGCTGTCACCTCTTCTCAGAGCACCTTCCTGGGTGCTCATCTTTGCCAGGCTGACTCTTCCAAAAACCAAACAGTCTTGCAGAGGGTATGTGCTCTCTACACGCCTCTGACGTTTAACACAGCAAGGTGGCATTATTTTTTTTTTAGAGGTTTATGCCTGGGGGTGCGTGCACTCCTGGGAAAGAGAGACAGAGACAGGGAAAGTGAGAAATCACCCCCTCAGGGGGTTGACCACACCACAATCCCTTCTCCTCCATTCTCCTCCTGGGGTTTTGGCCATGCATGCCCATGTGCCCCATGTAATTTTTAAGCCACCAGGTCCAGGACTCAAACCAGTCTGCCATGTGGGAGTCCAGCGACGTACCAGCTACACCATTGGCTGGCCCTGGAATGTGGCATTGTTTAATGCTGTTCTTCTCATAGTTTCTGCCGTGACAGCTTGACTTAACGCAACGTCCAATCAAGGTTTTCTGGTTTCTTCTTTTTAAAATTTATATTTATTCATTTATTATTTTTAATTTGCTATAGGGCACTCAGCCGAGAGAGAGAGAGAGAGAGAAGAAAAGTGAGAAAGCAAGCTGCCAGGTCCTGGACTCGAACTGTGGTTGGCCATGTGGGAATTCAGTGCCTTCACCACCACACCGCTTGCCAGCCCCCATCCAGGTATCCAGCTCTCCTTCATTTTTGTAAAAAGCCGACCATCAGGAAGGCAGCGTGCCCATTTCAAGTGCAGAATAAGTGTGAATGCTTCTCTTTTCTTTATGAGAGTTTGCCCCTCGAATACGTTGAGTGTCGAGTGTCGGATCATGTTGGTCTTCACAACAGGGACATCAAAGGCTGACTTTAAGATGCATGCGCTGTCTCTACCGCTGAGTTATCGGATCCTACAAAGTCAGGGTGTCCAAACATGACCTGTGTTCGCACCGGACGTGCTTCTGAAGTTTAGAGCTGACCATCGAGGTGTCATTCCTCTTTCTTCATCTGCAGCGGGTAATTCCCTGTGAATAAGATGCTGCAGACAGATACACAGGATGGACAGACAGACACCGTAGAGCTCTGTGGTCTGACACAGCCAGAGCAGGGAGAGGAGGGAGGTTTCCAGGCACCATCGTTTTCTTAGACGCAAACAGAGAGTGAGATAGAAAAATCACAATGCTGTCATTCTTGTTTGTTTTTTTTTTTTTTTAGGTAGGCACCAGGTATGGGCGGACCTAAATGGCTGAGTTTCCCCTGTGGTCCTGGAAGGTTAAAGGAAGGAACCTAATCACTTTGATAACAGGGCTATACTGGCCGCCAAAGATCCGTGCAAATGGACTCTCCTTCGGAGTCTCCTCCCTGAAGGATCAGGTGACTTTACGTCCGCGGTCCAGGTGAATGTCTGGAAGAAAGCACACGGTGGTCCCAAACCAGAGATTTGACACAGCTGGCTGCTCTCGGTAGCAGCTTCTTTCTGTTCCAAACCCTCCAAGCATCGCAGGTGATGCAATATTTGGCTGTTGAGAGTCCCTGTCCTTGAAATGAACCTTGCAAATCACTAACGATTGAACAGTGGAAGAGCAATGACACAAAAGGGACAGTGTGAATGGTCACCCGTGAACAGCTACCTCGGTGGCATTTTCTGTGCGCTCTGGGAAAACAACAGAGACAGAACGTCGACAATCTGTGTGGTCGGCCCGTGCAGTTATTTTCAACCATTTTTCCTGGGAAAGGGGCCAAAACCCAGAAACCACCCTTTCCTCACCGCGTGTTGGCAGAAATGGCTATCGTGTAAAAATACACATTTTTAATAGGGCTTCACGGGGCCGCGAGAACAGAACACTTTCTTCTTTCCGTGACTCGTCATGGAAATCTAAATAGTTCTTTTCGATTCCACGCTAAGGCTTCCGAGAATGATTCCGGGTCCTGTCGATTTTTCTAGAGACGCAAAGTCAAGAGAAGGGGTTGGATCGGGTGGGTCTTGGGTGAAGCCGTGGATACAGCTGTGTTAACTTGTCAGCGCAGCCAGGTTTTTCTTTCAGGAGATCATTCCTTACAAAACACAGGGGATATTTTTGGCGGACAAGTAAACCCCAAGAAAATGAAGTGAATACAGATGTTAAATATTTTTTTATAATTTTGGCGTGTATGTTAATTTGTAGCTGCTATATATATCATATATATATACTTATACATATTGTATATTTATGTAGAGAGACATGTGAATAGACATATATAGACATATCTATCATACATAGACATATATAATATATATGTAAATGAACACATAATATATGCATATATAATATACACATTACAGATATACATACAGAGAGACATTTGCATATCTATGCATACATAGACATATAGAATGTATGCTATATGTAAAATAATGCATAATATATCATTAATGTGTATATACTATCGACATTATACATAGACTCTTACAGACATACATAGACATATAGAATGTATGATATATGTAAAATAATACATAATGTATCATTCATGTGTCTATAATATATACATTATAAATATACATAGAGACAGTTATAGACAGAGACCTACAGAATGTATGCTATCTGTAAAATAATGTACATTCATGCGTATATAATAACATATACATT